GGGTCGTAAGTTACTCAGGAGTAACTTACGAAAATTTTCTTTGGGTCTCCTTTCTAGCACACTATTTCGGGTAGCTCATGGGAGATGATCTCCCAACCGGACGTCACCTGAGGCTCACCTCTAGGATGACGTTGCATTCTTCAAGTACAGGGAAGTGAACTGTCATCATTGCACTTGACGGACCTCACATGAGGGTTTCAGTGGAGATCAACTTCCATGACCGAGCTTTACTAGGGCCTATATCTTACTGCCTACATTAAGTTTGTAAAGATTTCCTTAATCTTACTCGAAAAACGTCTTAGCATGTTTGGGTTTATGTAATAAGAGATCGCCAAAAGCTCAATAAGTTTCGATTTTGATATTCAGGTTGATTTGTGTACGGATCTCGTATATTTTCAAAATCGAGCTTTGTATCGCCCAAACCTCAAAAGCTTTCTGCTGCCAATCGTGCTTCATGGTTCCGTGCAAACGCGATATTCAAGAAATCACTTTTGCAAGACTAAACAAAAAATTTTAACCTTCTAGAAACAATTAGGCCCATTATCTACTCTGTTTCTCTCATACGTGTCCTTTTTGAAAACGTGAAGCAATTCTCGAAAATCAGTAATCTTGAACAAATGAAAAGAACGGTTGAAGATTCTCAATTAATCATTCAACGAATTTTTTTGTAGACATAGCCACTGAAAGGTGAAGAAAAAGCTGTGCTCTATCGTGTTTGCTTTTCGGTCATTTCTAGACAACCTTTGATGTCTTTCGAAACCTATGAAACTTTCGAGCAACCTAATATATTCACACATTACTACCTCAGATCGGTTATCATTTTTTGGGGACCAACTACTCCGCTCCTACTTACTCAGTAGAATGACAAAAGGTGGACGGTGGTATAGAGAGCTTAAAACGAATATAACTCGGAAAACTGCTCACCCTCTTCTTCTTGCAAACTGAATTCCATGGTCTTCGCTTCCGGCTCCTGCAGCGTCTTTTGCACCATTTGCTCGAAGCTTTCGCTGAGTAAGGGCTCGTCAGCACTAACATCCTCCTCAGTTGGAAAATGCAGAACCTCCAAGGGAACTGTTGTTCTTTCGCCTGGCGCCGTCACGTACATGCCTTCTGTTGTTGTGGTCATCCTGGCAGATGTGGTGCTCTTGGTGGTCCTCGTCTTAGTTGGTTGGTCTTCAGATTTGGCCCTTCCTTCGTTGAAGGCTTTTTCTTCAGGAGTAAGTGGCTCTAATTCTGGCGTAGCTTGTGGCAAAACGGAAGGATTCTGCTCCAGTTTCAGTCCTGATTTAGGTCTCATTTTTATTCTCCATGGGCTCTTATTAGACGCAGAAATTGTGCCTGAATCCTCTTTTGGATGAGAACTGGATTGTGAATGTTTACGCTGAGTTTTCTTCCTCGTGATTGTGATATTCAATGGAAGCGGATGGGAAAATGGTAAGTTCACGATAAGAGGCTGGCCAATCGGTTGCTCATCATTGTTAGACTTTTCCGAATTTTTAAAATCAGAGGGTACGGAGATAATGAGATTTTGACCATTCTTAGCATCTTCCGTTCCCTTATGTGTCGGGAGTTTTGAAGATTTCGGTGCTTCCACGATCAAAAAAGCTGGTTTTGTGCCGAGAACGTCGGATTCAGGGAGTCCAGAAACAGATACCTTTTCCACTCGCACCTGAGGTTTTGATGGGCTTTTGAGTGTAGTCGAGGACAAATCAGGTGGGAAATTGGTGACATGAATGCTTTGAGAAGAACTGTCCATGATTTCTTCTTTTTTGATTTCTAGCCTTTCAAAATCTGGTGAAATAATTTTCCCTTTCAAGGCATCCGATGAAGGACTAGAAGGATTAGCATTGTCCGAAGTGTCAATATCTAGATGCGGGAAGTCAAGCGGAAATAAGAGATTCGGATCCTTTGGCTTGGGGAAATCTTCCAATGTATCGTTCTTCACATCCATATTTTTGTTAGGTGTAATCTTTGATGGAACCTTTTTGTTCTTCTTTGGTTTTAGAGGAGTTGCTGTAGCTGAATTCATCTTGATTTCCTCCTTCGATGTCGAATTCGCAACAAATGGAGCGAAATTGATTTCCATGCTAATCGTTTCATTAGCAGCTAGCACTTCTGGAACGGCAGGTACTACATTTAGCGGGACCGGAAACTCCAGTTGGATTTCTTTGTCCGGTAAAACATTCGGTTTGGGAAAATCATCCACTGGAGTTGTAGAGATTGTTGAGGTTTCATTTTGTGGGGTGAACTCAAGCGTTTCATTATTCTTCGACTTTTTTGATTTGCGGACTATCTTTTTCTTAGGCTTTTTCTTCATTGGCTCGCTACTGGGTAGAGCTGTTGTGGGAGAAGCTTCTTCCAAAGTGATTACCGTTCCTGGAAGAACCGTAATATCCCAAGGAAGGCTACCAACAGTTGTTGTTTCATTGCCATTTGTTGAGTCTTGCACAAGCTTTTTGATGGGTAATTTTTTCAATAATGGAGAGTTAACCGACACGTCCGGCTTTTCCTTCTTCCTATGCTTCTTTGACTTCTTCGTAGTAGTTTCTGGATGTTCAGATAGTTGCGAA